TAAACGCTGATAATAAGAGCCAACATAGATCAAAGTCGCTACACTGAAAAAATAAAAAATTCATTAATAGTCTGGAGGAACAAAGTAAGGAAGACCTGTATGCTGATATTTAAACAATTGGCACTATTGAAATAAATAGTGTGGTAAAGGATAATAATACTATGAGTGAGGAAGTATTTTACTACCCTGCGTGTTAACCGTAAGACCAATGGGGATATATGAGGATTATCTTAACTGCGTATTGGGGATCTGAGATTACCCAATTTGGAAAAGTACTAATACCATGTCTGCACAAAAGGGGAAAATTTAACCGTGTTTTTTATGTAACTGATGCAGTAGGTCCAGCTATATTGGGAATAAAACCCTGTAGAGCCCTCGGACTGGTTTCACTTCATTGTGTGCTGGAAACAAAAGTGGTACAAGGAAGAAACATCCCTCAAGGTGTTGCCCAGGGGCCTAGCGAAGAGAAAGTTAAGTCCACTAAGAGTATTAGATTTGCGGATCAAGGAAAGATAATAAATTAGCAACAAAGTCGGTCTAGAAGTTATATTAAACCCTCTGTGCCAATCACAGACAGTCCTCAAAGAGAAAGTTATACAAGAGTGGCCTGATAGCGTAAAGAAAATACAGCAATTACCGAGATGACATTTCTGTTCAAGAAGGACTTCTACTCTAAGGCAGGAGAATAATTGTTCCACAATCACTCCGGCAGAAGATAATGCGAGAAGTCCATAATGGTGATCAAGGGATGGAGAAGTGCAAACTTCGTGCAAAATCCTGCGTTTATTGGCCCGGTATATATAAAGAGATTGAGAGTATGGTGGCGTCCTGTTGTGCCTGCAAGAAATTCCAAAATTCACAGCAAAAGGAACCCATGATTCCAAACAAAGTACCACCAAGACCATGGCATACTGTGAGCGCAGACCTGTTTAAGGTAAATAATTTCTGGTACATTGTTATTGCTGACAATTATTCGAAATTTCCGAACACGCTCAGGTCGCATAGTAAAGAAGCCGGACAGACTAATATATAAGTAGATAATAGCGAATAGTATTAGAAAATATGATCGGTAAGTTTGTGCATTAGTATAATATCGTTAAGTAGATCTTTAAATTAGAATAAATTAGATAAAGTAGAACAATTGATAAAGACAATTTCAGCATAAGCAATTTAGAGACATATAGATAATATAAATATAAGTTTTTATATAATTTAAATACTAAGTTAAGACAATAGAATAATGAATCTGAATAAAATGACAACAGTCTTATACAAAGAGTTTTGCATGGATGGAGTCACTTTGAATATTTAGAGTAGGATGACATTCTTTAATATAAAGCATTTCATATATAAGACAATCGAATTTGTTCTGGCATTTTCTTAGGACTTCAAAATGGCTTGCATTAAGCAAGTCCTTACTCCCATGAGCTTTGTAAAGGTGTTTGCCAATGGTTGATGATTTATGCTCAGCGATGTGTTGATGGAGATGTCGCGCTGTATAGCCAATATAATCCGCATCACACAGATCACATTGAAATTTATACACGACGCATTGCTGATTTACGATTGGCGCTTTCACTTCCCTCGGTTTTAATTGCTGTTCCAATTTTTTGCTTGTAAACACTCGTTGTACACGAACACCAATTTTTCGACTCAGATCAGCCATTTGTTTTCTGACTGCATTGCTTTTAAAAAAAGGATTATCTTTAACACCATTAATCTTGAGTATTTGGTTAGCATTACTCCAAGCACCCTTGACAAAGTGAGGAAGCTCAGTTTCCTCAAAAGCTGGCAAACCTATGAAACAATTATTTAAATGAAAAATAATAACTAATAAGGATGAGTTAGTATTATTATAGGCCTGGTTTTTTGACAATTCAAGTTTAGCTTATGCTCTCTTGGTTAATAAGTTTTTAGTGGCTACCAGTGGCATAGCCAGCCTGACAATTTCATCCCGCTATGCAAATTCACGATTATTATCATTATTCATTTCTTCAGAAATTCATTGTTTTTACAGTCAATGAACACAACAATATTTGCATAGCGGGACAAAATCAGCGGGCTGGCTACACTACTGGTGGTTACATCCTTTTCTGACACGCATTGCTAAATGTAACAAGGTCCATGTAGAATGCTATGGTTGTTATGAAGATAGAAACTTCAAGAACAATTCTGTAACTAATAAATTCCTAATCCAGCAAATATCATATTAGTAGGGCATGAGTGTTTGATGAATGATTGCATTTATGATAACTGATTGTATGAATCTCAATCAAATAAACTTTTGCAACAGGTACACATTAAAGTTGATGGTGACACAGCTGCAACTGGCGCATATCACTGATTTTATACAGAATTTTACTGTTATTACCATGGGTACAAATTCCAAACTATTATCATGGAGACCTATTTCTGATTGGCATGAGTATAACCAACACACTTTTGATTGTATGTTATCATTATATGGACCAAGTGTAAAACTGTTATACAAATTTGAAGGTAGTACCTGGGTGCCACTATGTTATGACAAAAATCTTACAATTCAGGGTTCAAATTAGTGTTGAAAAATAGATGTGCAAAAATTTCCTCTAAAATTTCATGCATGAAAAATACCAAAAGAAAATAGGCAAGATACAAAATATGAAACAGATTTTTATGAAAATGAGAAGCTGGTAACAAACATTCACCAAGTCCATAATAACAATCTTTGAAACATGCCCCTGGAGAGACTCACATACCTGCTTCAATTTCTGATACGGTGTTGTTTAAAGGTTGATAAGTTGTACTTGGCCCAGCAGCCTCTTTTATTTTCTTCTTGATTGATGGTGCAGTTGGAATGAAAGGCTTTCCTTTTCTCTTCTTTGGTGATAACTGTTGCTCCATGTTATTAGGAAACATGTATTGTATAAGAGCATAATTCATCTCTTCTAAAAAGGAAAAAAACTACAAATTGCTGGCACAGTACTGCTGAGTAGACATTATCTATAGAAGAAATATCAGTCATCAAATAAAACTTGGTTATATACCCTCAGTTAAGTGACAAAGAGTAACCAAATTCTTGGTTACAATAACAAATGATAACTACTTAAAATAACAAGTGCATATGACCTTTACGACAAATCAGAGAAATTCTTTGTAGCAGGTGATTTACATCTGGTGCGGGTATACTGTACTTTCTATATTTTTAGACTTGTAATTTTGTATTCTTTTGTATTTTAAGCTAATTAAACCGAATCCTAATTATGCTAATTCTAACCCTTACTCTAATCCTAATAGCCTGGGGGTGGCACCAAAGTTAGATTGTACTGAAAAAGGAAGTAAAGGTTTTAAATACAAGAAAGTAGAAGATAATTCGAGTAACTTTTCACGTGAAACCTTGCACATACCTGGCAACCGTGATGATTCGAGACAACAAACCGACGTAACCAAGGCAACTGCGTTATTTCATAAGAACATAAGTGTTGGACCTGAATATATTTGCACATGTTGTGACCAATTATGGTATAGATCATCTGTCTTAATCAACTTATGTCTTACTGGTCTAAAGAGCATTGATAACACAGAATGGATATGTGGTACATGTCATTTAAATCTAAAAATTGGTAAACTACCAAGTTGCGCAAAGGCAAACAAAATGACTTTTCCTGAAATGCCTGAAGCCTTAAAAAATTTAGCTCCTCTTGAAGAAAGACTGATTTCACCAAGAATACCTTTTATGCAGGTACGAGAATTGCCTAGTGGAGGTCAATTAAGTATCCATGGGAATGTTGTAAATGTACCTGCTGATATTAATACAACTGTTAGTGTTTTGCCAAGACCAATTAACGAGTCACAAACTATTCCAATAAAGTTGAAACGACGGCTCGGTTACAAACACCATTATCAATTTCAAAATGTTAGACCTGCAAAAGTTTTAGATGCAGCCCAATACTCAGTTCGCACTAGTGAGATATTCAAGAACGAAGGAATTCAAGTGATGGATAATTATATGTCAAATCCAGCCAATAATGAGGAAGACAGGTCACAATTTATTACAAAGATCACCAAAGAAACTTCAAATATTTCATCAAACGAGTCGAATACTCATTTAGTGAATTTCCTGCCTCCCAAAGGAATGTAGTCCACTAAAAGTCACTTTTCTACAATTTATTTCAAATACTAATAACAATCACAAGTCACATTCTCATCACTGTCTCACGTCCCTCAGAACACTTTTCTTTCCCCCTCGTCCCTTGTATATATATATATTAGATTATATCGTCTCACTTATGATTGGCGCGTCTTAATTGCAATATGCTAAATCAATACCCAATTAACCCCAGTCTCCGACACACTCCCCCCATGTAGCTCCTATATGGGAGATACATGTTATGAAGGAGACTTTAATAGAACATAACAATGAATATATAGAAAAATGTCAATAATGTCAGGGATGTCTTTAGTCCTAAAATAGTTTTCGTTCAAACTCTGCGATCTTCCTAATTTGTTCATCAGCTTTTTCAGCAGCTTTTCGCTTTGGTCGGAAAGGTTTAGCATCTGGATTCAGTGTGTTTGTTTCTGGTTTAACGCTCTCGCTTGCAAGCTCCATGGGGTAAAGATGCTGGACCGGTCTCTCGAGTGTTCCTTTAGCTGTCTTCAGTTTAACTGCGCGAACGACTCCGTCTTTCCCCGGAAAGACTCGTTGTACAATAGCCAAAGGCCAATTTCCTCTGTTTTTGTCGTCACTCTTTACTATGACCACGTCCCCTACCGAGACTTTGAACTTCGTTGTCTGGTGTGTCAAATTATGTCTCTCTCTAAGCGCAGTGAGATACTCTCTCCGCCAGAGATTCCATAGGTTCTCCTTGCAAGTGATCAAAAACTTGGCCCGCTTTCGTAGGGATTTCTCTTCTTTTCGCCAGGGCTCTTGTTCGGGTAGTTGATTCGACCTTTGAAATAGGAAGGTAGACGGGGTAAGAGTTTGGAGCTCAACGTCATCTTCCACGTAGCTCAGAGGGCGTCTATTTATCTGGGTCTCGATATCTAACATGACTTCGCTTAACTCTTGCCAAGTGAGCGTTGCTCCCCCGATCGTCTTGTGCATTTGCCTTCTTCACTATACCTATCAGTCTCTCGAACTGCCCGCCCCACCAGGGTGCTCTTGACAGGTTAAATTTCCACGTGATGCTACACTCTTCTAGGTGGCTGTGGAGGCGTTCGTCTTCCACCGCTTGAACCAACCACTTCACCGCTTTCACAAATGTCCGACCGTTGTCTGAGTAGATAACTCGAGGTCGACCCTTCCGAGCCACTAGCCGTTTCAAGCACGGGATAAAGGTTGTCGTTTCAAGATTAGGAATGACTTCTAGGTGGATAGCTCTCGACAAACTGCAAGAGAAAATGATCAGATAGGCCTTTCCCTCTCGCTTCGCAGCTTTTCGATACCGTATTGGCCCTGCGAAATCAGTTCCCACGACTTCGAAGGCTGTTTCTCCGGTGGTTCGGTCTTCTGGAAGCTGACCAGGAGGGGGTGTTGCGAAGGCCGTTGCTCTGGACCGCTTGCAACCCCAACAATCTCTTTGGATAGACTTTACCAACCGTCTGAGCTTTGGAACCCAGTAATCCTCTCTCACTGCGGCCATAGTTAACCCAACGCCACCATGCAGTGTCTTGAGGTGCACTCTCTGCACCAACTTCCTCGTAAACGGCGCGTCAGGAGGTAGATACGTCGGGTACTTCCCTTGTATTCTTCCCCGACACTGCAGGTTAAGGGCGACTTTGGTTTGCTCGTGATGTGGTGTTGAACTGTCTTGGAGTTGGACACGTTTGATCCACCAAGTCTTCATCTCGCTCACTTCTGGAGTTGTCAACGGACCGCGTTGCTTTTGCTTGCTTCGACAATTGCGAACAAACCGTAGAATCCACGCACCGGTTCTCAGGACGCGTCGTAAATCTCGTCTTTTGAGAAGGTCATCGAAGTCGTCCGTCTTCATATCTTCTACTCGTGCGACACACAAGACTTCTTTGATGATCTTGGCTTCAGCCTCTGAATCTGCTGAAGCTTCGGTAATTGGGTTGGTTGGCCAACGATCGTGGTCTTGTAGCCACTCGGGCCCAGTCCACCACAACGGTGTGGTCACTGTCCCTCCGCGGCTGGCTAGGTCGGCAGGGTTGTCATGGGTAGGCACGTATCGCCACTCGATTTCTGAATGAAGTTGGATCTTGGCGACTGTATTTGCCACAAACTGTTTATATTGTCCGTTACCGCGGATCCAATGTAGGGCAACTGAGCTGTCTAACCATCCGAGTACTCTGGGCTTCGGAAGTCCTTGTAAGGCGCTGCCCACGTTCGTCACAAGGTTGGTGGCCATGTGTGCTGCGACCAATTCCAACCGAGGGATAGTGAGCCCTTGCTTAGCGAGTCGACCCTTCCCAGCTACAAGTCGTTGCGTAACTCCAGACTTTTGTCTCACGATTGAGTAGACAGCTGCGCCTACTCCTTGTGTAGAGGCGTCTCCAAACGCGTGAAGTTCTAGCTCATCCACCGGTTCTCTATGGTCTGCAATCGCCCGCGGTGTCGTCTCCATCTTGGGGGTGATTCGCTCCCACTTCTTCCAACGCTGAGTCAGTTTGTCATTAAGTTTGGCATCCCATGGCGTCTTCGACTCGCAGGCTGCTCTGTACACCAGCTTCCCTTCTAGTGTAAGTGGTGACACTAGACCGAGGGGGTCATAGATCTTTGCGAGTTTGCCGAGAATACCGCGTCTGGTCACGGGATGTTCATCTTCAGGAAAATTGATCGACAGGGTATCCTCGACTTTATTCCATTTCAAACCAAGCATCTTCGTTTCACCAGGTTGCACTCCAAATTGTTGTTTCGCAAACGATTGTTCGTCATGATTTTGGGACCGATCACCGTCTCTCTCTAACTCTTCAACGTTCGAGTGCCACTTGTGTGATTGGAAAGTGGCATCGTCCAGGACTTCAATGGCCTTTTCCTTTCGCGTACGAGCCTGCAGTACAGTTTGGACCCCAGTCAGCAGATCATCAACGTATAAACTGCGCCGCAACTCTCGTATCAGGTCCGGGTATTTCCCTTCCCAGGCATCAAAATGGCTTTCGAGCACTCCGGCGAGAAGAAATGGCGACGAGATCAGCCCAAACAATGCTCTTGTGAAACGTAGAACTTCGATCTCTAAGTGTGGTTCTTTCTGCCAATGGAAACGGAGGCAATCACGTTCGTTTTCTCGAATCTGAATCTGCAGAAACGCCTTTCGAATGTCAGCGGCTACTACGACTGGGTAAGCGCGTTGTTGGACCAAAACGTCCCAAAGTTTGTTCTGGAGGGGGGACCGGGGTTCAAACACTCGTTGAGGGATGGGGCATCAGGTTTGGCTTCCGCGGAGGCGTCGTACACGATTCTCATTTTGGTACTCTCTGCACTCTCTTTAACTACCGCCTTATGTGGAATGTAGAATTCCTTGTTGCTAGGGACTTCCGGTGCTTTCTCAACAATCCCCTCGTTCAGTTCTTCTCGGATGATGGAGTCGTACTCGGTGGTAAGGCCGTTTTGGTGCAGTCGCTTCGTGAGGTGGTTCAGACGACGTAGACTTCCTTGTTTGTTGTTTGGCAAGGTTGCATGATTTCCTCCCCAAGGCAGCCCCGTTACGTACCATCCCGCTGGATCTCTCGTTAATTGCTCTTTAAATTCGGAGTACACCGTTCCTTGATCGTGTGTTGGAACGTCAGCTAACCCGAGTACGTCTAGACGACAGAGTTCCTCGTAGTCTGTCTGGCTAGTTTGAGTCATAAGCATAGTATTTTTGTCGAATTCCTCTCCTGGTGACATTATGAACCAGCCCAGTCTAGTGTATTCTGCGATCGGTTCACCCTCTTTTCCGACGTGAGGCTTTGTTTCAGTCTTGATCCGAGCGTATTCTCCCCCACTCAACACTACGTGGACCGGTAAGCTGGCTTTTTTGTCGTCGTCGTTCATTTTTACGCCGCTAAGGTGTGAATAACGCGCGATTATCGCTTCGTAATTAGGATTGTCTATCGTTAATAGTTTATCTTTATTTACCTTGGTTAATTTTACATCCATCTGGAAATTGTTATCAACAGATGCCATCACCGTCTCATAAGTTTGAAATCTTTCGACACACGATCCCATTAACATGTCAACACGTTTCGTCTTTACTTCGCAAGGTTTCAGGTGCAATAAATCAATCAACTTGGCGGAAGCGTAGGAACTCCCGGCGCCAGAGTCAATTAGTGCTCTCACGGTAATCCCATTAACCTTGACCAGAACTAAGGGGAATAATCCTTCACCACTTACGTTCGCAGACAAAAGCTTTTCTCGGTTCTCTTCGTTTCGGTCGCATATCGATGTATGGTGGCACTTTTCGCAGTTGAAACACTTCGATTTACTTGGGCAGTCAGACGCACGATGTGACGCACCGGTACAATTAAAGCACAGATGACGCTTGGCTAGGATCTGTCTTCGCTCGTTCGCCGACGTCACTTTCGTACACCCCCCGGACTTGTGATTGGCGTCATCACAATAAACACATCCCTTGTTTTGGCGTGCATGGTAGAATTTGCTAGTACGTGCTTCCCATTCGAGATATGGGCTTTAATTTGAACAAACGGGAGTTTCGAGATGCTGTCAGATTACGTTATGAGTGGCCAGTGGACGATGTACCCTCCACGTGTGCATGCGGAGATGCCTTTACGGTGGACCACGCAATGATCTGTAAACGAGGTGGTTTTACCATCCAACGACACAATGAATTAAGAGATCTTGAAGCGGAATTATTGAACATAGTTTGTAATGATGTTGAGACAACTGGTCCTTCAAGACATCTCGGGTGAAAGACTTCATAGAGGATCTAATGTGTCGCAGGATGCAAGGCTGGATATACATGCTCGCGGTTTCTGGGAGGCACAACGGTCGGCATTTTTTGATGTGAGGGTATGTCACTCGAACGCCGAATCCTATGGTGACCTGGAACCAGCGCAGATATACAGAAAGCATGAGATGGAGAAGAAACGCCAATATGCCAGTCGCGTACTAGATATAGAACAAGGAACATTCACGCCCTTAATTTTTACAACAACTGGCGGAATGGGTCCAGAGTGTATGCAGTATCACAGTCGCCTTGCAGAGTTGATAGCACACAAAAAAGGGAGAACAGTATGAGAAAACGATCTCTTGGATAAGAGCCAAAGTATCGTTTGCGTTGTTGAGAGCTGCTCTCGTATATTTGAGAGAATCCAGGACAGCAAGGCGAAGATATAACCTCACGAACACTGACATTGACATTGAATTTGCTGAAGGAGCAATTTAAGACGATCGACTGATAGTTCTTAAAAACAATTTTCTTAACATTTTTATAAAATTTTTAGAGTTGTGGAAAGGACATAATATAAAGTAACATTGTAGTGCTAGGAGATATGGAAAATAAACATTATTATTGCTGTATAAAATTTATTTATAAATAATGACATATTTGTACTATCTGTTTTTAAATATCCTAATAAATTATTATTATTATTATTATTGTTGTTGTTGTTGTTGTTGTTGTTGTTGTTGTTGTTAAAATCCGACAAGGCTGGTGTACGATATATAATCAGAAAGGTCATTAATATTGCAATTAGGTCAACATATTACGTTTTTTGTTGTAGAAACAAGGATTGGACAAACCCAGATTTACTAAAATTTTAATCTGCTTGTTATACTGTGTACTTGTGTAAATGTAAGGTGTAATAATGCATAATGTATAATCAAATTTTTATATATCAAATTTTTATATATCAAGTAGCCAATTGTAAATTACCTTTAACAGTGAGATTTGCAATTGTAAGTATGTATTAAAGAAAATAAAGTTTCCATTATTATTATTATTATTATTATTATAATAATAATTCAATTCTCAATTTTATAGCCAATAACCTCCAATCAGAACAAATCCAAGATATTTTCGCCGACCTGCCTTCATTTCTGAATCCTTCCATTATAACTGGTGATAGCTACCGTCCTGACTTACTAATCTTGACTAAGGACAACTGTCTGTATGTATTGGAACTTACCGTTGGTTTTGAAACTAACCTTAGAAATAATATAAAGCGCAAATACTCCAAATATGAAGAATTAATTGTGGAACAAAAGAAAAAATTTCAGTCAGTAAAGTTCATTAATCTCTCCATCAGTGCTCTTGGCGTCTTCGACAAACAATCTGCTGCTTTCATAAAAATGCTAGAATTAATGTACCCAAATCAAAGTCATGTAAAATATATTATTCGAAAAATTATTAATATTGCTATTAGATCGACATACTATATTTTCTGCTGTAGAAACAAAGAATGGTCCAAACCAGATTTGATGAAATTCTAATTTTATATTTAACATACTAAAGAACTATATATATATATATATATATATATATATATATAGTATTCTGTAATGTAATTGTGTATTGTAACCATTATCTTATCTCCATATATCAAGTAGCCAATTGTAAATTACCTTTAAAAGAGAGATTTTCAATTGTACGTATAAGAGAAAAAAATCAATAAAGTTTTATCATCATCATCATTATTATTATTATCATTATTATTATCATTATTATTATCATTATTATTATTATTATTACTATTATTATTACTATTATTATTATTATTATTATTATTACTATTATTTTTACTATTATTATTACTATTATTTTTACTATTATTATTACTATTATTATTACTATTATTATTACTATTATTTTTACTATTATTATTACTATTATTTTTACTATTATTATTACTATTATTATTACTATTATTATTACTATTATTTTTACTATTATTATTACTATTATTATTACTATTATTATTATTATTATTACTATTATTATTACTATTATTATACTATTATTTTGTTATTATTATTGTTGTTGTTGTTGTTGTTGTTGTTGTTGTTGTTGTTGTGGTTGTTGTTGCGGTTGTGGTTGTCGTTGTGGTTGTCGTTGTGGTTGTCGTTGTGATTGTCGTTGTGGTTGTCATTGTGGTTGTCGTTGTCGTTGTCCTTATCGTTATCATTATCATTATCATTATCATTATCATTATCATTATTATTATTTATTATTATTATTATTATTGGTAAAAATAATTATTTTCCTATGTGAAATAGATATATTAGGATAGGAATATAGTAATGCAAGGTTATAAATAGGATAGGAATATAGTAATGCAAGGTTACTATAAACTGTAAACTTACAAGATGTCGTGACGTCATCAAGTTTTCATGGTAACACAATTTTGTAACAACGTATGAACAATTATGGCAAAATTGATGTATATATGTCATATGTTACTATAAATTTTATAAGTCAAATTATCTACTTGCACTTTTCATAAGCTTTTTTGTGATTAAATGACGTCATAATCGTTGCCATGGCAACGATAAGTGTCCAATTGTTACATCGATTGTTACATTGTTACATAATGTGTCTTTATGTACAACCAGTCGACTCTGAAAATTTCGTGGTGATTGGATGAAAATTCTAGAAGTTATACCCTTTTATGTTAAAAAATTGGTTTAAAGTCACGCATTTTGGTGCCATGTTAAACACCTAGTTGTAGTACATTTATACATACGCATCTTCCAAAATTTGGCCTAAAATTCCGACCTTTAAACTCTTTGATGAAACTTTTTGATAATAACTTTTTGATGAAACACCGATTTTGATGAAACAAACACCAAAATGTTTCAAATGACGAGATTAATCAAACTAGGATATTTGCGGAGCCCCCCTGTAAATTTAATTTTTTGGCTGTTATCCCTATTAAAGGGCATTTTTTCAAATAAAAATGAAATACAACTGAACTTTATGCATTCCATTTAATCTTTAGAGTGGGCTGTGTATTATAATAAACATCACATACTACCATACGAAGGAGTTCAGGAAAGGGGTGGGTCTTTAAAAAGTATGAAGATGATGTAATAATGCACAAGTCAATACTAACCAAGACAAGATGGAGATTCTGCTCTTTGGATCATTAGAGGTCCCCAGATGTTGGGACATTTGTGTATTATCTGCAGGGATTTTGGTCAGAGGCTATACACTTAAAAGATCTTTTGAATTAATCTTTTATGATCACAACACATTCACTTTGAAAGGTTTCTGTTAAGGTTTGATCTTTTTTTTTGGCAAGTTTTCTTTTATACTTATTAAAATGTCCACTATATAACTTTAGGTCAAATATCATGATTGTTCAGTATCAATATTTAAGAAAAGGAATTTTAATTTGGTTTGAATATATGAATCACCAAAAGTGTAAAAATTATCAAGTAGGCTTTGGATATGAACAAAAGAATACCATCAAATAGCATGAAATATCGATAAGCAAAAAAATATCTATGCAATACTTAATATTTGACAAGATTTTATGCAAAACTTGATGAGATTTTCAACAAAGGTGGCAAGATATTGCAACAAACTTGATGAGATTTTGCAACAAACTTTGTGAGATTTTCAACAAACTTGGTGAGATTTTGCAACAAACTCAGACTGCCCACCACATATTCCAATTCTACATCATATAAGTGGAAATAGATAAGTTTCAATATAACCGGGGAGCAGCGTGGCATTGTCTTCAAACAACTTAGCATCAAATGTGGTAAAACAACTGCCTAAATAGACAAAAGACTTCTCGACATTTTGACCTGAGGGCCTTCGTCAGGAGAGTTAGTATGAAAATAAATAGGGGAAAATACACGTTTTGATTGGGGACAAAACATGTGATAAAAAGGGCCAATAGAAAACAAAAAGTCAAAACAAATTGGAATACATTAGATTGTTA